GCTCTACAGATGTTTTCCCTCTGCCTGCAATGCTCTCCCTTCTTTTCCCACTTAAAATGCTAACCTATCCATTAGAAAAGAGTTAAGATAGCAGGACTGACTACTCTCTGTGAAAAGGTCTGCTTACAAGGCTCGTTCTAGCCTGGCATCTGGTAACTTGGATTTAAGGAGGGTTCCCATCCTTCCCAGAACTGATAAGCATGGCTTGCTTGCTGCGCCTCTACTGTACAGACTGTGCTGAACACCTGCTTCCCTTGCGGGAGTGTGGAATTTTGTTAGCTGGCAGGCAGAGGGTTTGCATGTGGTCAGCCCCAATAAAGGTGCTGGGCTCTGAGCCTCTAACAAGCTTCGTGGCTGCCAACATTTCCCACGTGTTGTCATAACTCATTGCGGGGGGAAGCATGTAGGTCCTGCGTGACTTCTCTAGGGTAAAAATCCTTGGGTGCTTCTATCTCATTTCCCCCAGACTTTACCCCATGAACCTTCTCCCTTTGTTGATTTTCTTTGTATACTTTCACTGTAATAAATCATAGCTGTGAGTGCCAGGGTATGCTGAGTCACTGAATCTCTGCAGATCATTGAATCTTAGGGGTTGTCTTGAAGACCCTCAACACACAACCCTTCAAGCGTTAGTTCAAATATGACATCATTAATCTTTCTGTGCTTTCTTAGGTAGCTTTCCATTGTTCCTTTGCCTCTGCTCTTGCAATTAAAGAGACGTTCCTTATTGCATGATCATTAACCCTTTGTACTCTGTGCCCCTTTTAGAGTATAAGCTCATCAAAGACAAAGATCTGGTCTTTTTCACCTTTTTTCAGCATACAGTTAATATACTTGGTAGCATTTGCAATGGTGATTGTAGTCAATAACCACTGTTTACTATGTGTTTGACACACATAGCTAAGAGCTCTACCCATGTTATTTGCACTTCATCCTTCCAACCACCCCTTAAGGTAGTTACGACTGCTATCCTCATCTACAAAGTGGAGAAAACAGAGGGGCCATCAGAAGGTGTTCAGTGAGTGAATGAACCATGTAAAGAACATCATTTTAGTCCTCGGGGAATCACATCACTGAGCTGCACATTTGTCACCATGGCTATTAACTCATGTACAGGCACCTCTGCAGGTGCTGCGTACAAACTGCTCCTAGGGGGTAACCTATTATACCACTTATTTTATTTATTATGAAGTGGCTTATTATATCATTTATTATTTTTTGTTTACTAGATAAGGTGTGCTTACTGAGCACAATTCAATCAAGGGTGTGTAGTGGAACGTAACCCTCTCCTGTTTGCCTCCCCAGACCCTCTTTTATGTCCTTCCAGAGGGGATGGACAAATGTGTTAACATATTTTACACAATGGGAGCATTTTATGCACATTCAATTTGCTTTTCTTACCTAAAAACATATCCTGGTGGTCATTTCGTTGCACATCTACAACAACCTCACTCTTTCTGAACACCTGCAGGGCACGCCATATCACTAGGACAGTAGGTTGGAAACAGCCTAATTATGACAAGTGGCTCTAGAACATTCTACACACTCAGAGTAGACCTATATGATAAAAAGTCTTAGAAATGGAAAATCTGGGTCCAAAAGATATTTATTACTTATTTTTAATGTAAAAAATGGTGACATAATTTACATACCATAAGATTTGATCTCTTAAAGGTTATGGTTCTGTAGTTTTTAGGATAGCCACACAACTGTGCAACATCGCCACTACCTAATTCCAAGGCACTTTCATCACCATGGAAAGAAACCCTGTCTGTATCCATTAGCAGCTAAGATATCTAGTTTTTATTTTGATAGGTTTTGTCACATTGTGGCATCAAAATTAAAGAACATCTTTTTGACCACACATTGCAGAATGTATCATATTATTCCAAATATGCAAGGTAGTAGATTTCTAGTTGTGTCTCCATCCCTGTCCCTACATAGAACAATGTCTCATTGGTCTTATCTGAGAAAGTAAGTCCAAGTTCAAGAAAGAAAATGCAAGCCTCCCATTCCCACCTCCCCTCCTCCACCATTCTGCTGCATCCTGCATAGTAGGTGCACGTTGGCACACTCCTCACACTGAGAAATGTATCAAAAGTCTAGCCTGACTTTAAAAGTCCCTTATAGTCTTTTCGGAGATGCACCCCATCTATACAAGTGTACATGGTTGCTACCTTGACCATGACTAGGACAAAGGCATTCTCATGATGTCAGTGTTCTGAGTTTAATGCTCTGGCAATGGGAACATTTAAAAAGGCACAGTTCCTTTCTGTGTCTGTTCTCCAACCCAAGCGCTGACACCACACCAGGTTGTTCTGTCCTTGGACCAGTCACCAGCGCCGACAGTGCCAGCCACGGGATGCTAAACAAGGCTTGCTTTGCATCCCACCCCTCCTCCCACCACCTGCCAGCCCCTGCTTATCTGGAAGGACCTCACACCCTAGAAAACTGACTGTAAACTGCTTCCCAGAGTGTGCCGCTTGGCTTCCAGCCCCACGTTGAGAACACAGCCCGCCAAGCACCCCCAGGTGTATGACGCTTTCTTCCTCTTTCTTCCTTTTCCTCATGTGTTTTTAGGAACATCCAAAGGGAAGATAATTAAAACCTGCAAGAAAACCAGCTGGCAGAGAAAAGGAAAATCTTAGTGACTTAGGGACGACGCCACATGTTTATGGGTAACTTTTGTAAGTAACACGACAATAAAAAAGAGGCTTTATAAATAAATGCCACATTCTTCAAAGCTCTATATAAACTACATTCTTTTTAAGGAAGGGGTGGGGGCGACTCATACCCACGTTTCTTCCTCATCCTTTCATTTCCAACAGGGGGAAAGGAATCCTAATTGTACAATTTCCTAGGAGCTCAGGCATTCTGGAGCCAATAGCACAGAAACACACACGCACTCACACGCACACACTGGGGAAAAGAGGGAAAGCAAGAAAGAAAAGAGGAGGCGGCCCAAGAGGATCTTTATTTGGCAAAGCAGAGTGGAACAAAGGGGCAGGAGGGCAGGCATCTCACCACCTCCGATCGGGTTTGCTGTCTATTCATATAAGCACACACACTTTTAATTCCTAAGACGAAACCTCTGCCTTCCTTTCTCAAATGCCGAGTGCTGTCTGAAAAGTGCCAAGATTCGGGGGAGCCTGTATAATCCCTTTCATTTTTCATCTCCTTTGCTGACTGTCAGGTGAAGCAGAGCCTTTTGCCACTCTGCATGTGACACAAGGCTCAGGGCACACACATTCCAGAGTGGCCTTCCCCACGAGCCAGCTACGTGTAGGTAACTAAAGCCTGCCCTTTGCTTGCTGTTAACAGGAGTAATTGGCACGCCACTGAGGAGCTGCTGGAGCGCTGTGATTTGCTCAGTTTGGGGGTCTCCCCAGACCATATGCGCATGCAGCGGTGATAGAAATATTTTCCATATGAGCTCTCCACTCGCCTGCTTAAGTGCTCCAGGCTGAGGGAGGCCAGCCCATTTGTCATTTACTCTACACACTAAAAAAATCAACAGGGAAGTTGCGAACTTCAACTACAACTAGAGGGCAATGGTCTGCTTTCAGCTTCCAGTATCACTCACCCATTCAGTTCCTCCTGCTCCCATTCAAGGGCTCAATCCCCCCACAGGCCCAGGAAATATCTACAGAGCAGAGGACATGATTAACTAATAGGCGAAAAGCCTACAACAAATGACCCGTTGCTGCATGCCTCTGAGCTGCATGTCTGTTTTGAACAGAGCAACACGCCTGCTGAAACCACAGCTAGCTTTGCAGCCGTGGGCTTGGGAGCGCTCTCACTTCCACTCTTCTTAGACAAGGGAAAGTAATTACATTAGCCTTTCAGAGCCTGCGTGGTCCCTGACAAGGCTAACAAAAGGCGAAGCTGGGAAGTGGCCTCATGGCCTTTTTAGGAGATATACTTTTCACTTGGCTTTTCAAAGAGGAAGACGGATGCAGGAGAAAGGCTGTCCTTTTGTTACTGAGGCATCAGGGTAAGGAGTGAAAGAAGTGGATACAGGAAATATGTTGCAGGCTGCTTTGCAGGTGAGGGTGGAGACACCAAGGCGCTTCCCCTTTGGGGCTCAGTGACAATCTATTCCAATCTCTTTAGCTGCATAAAAAACTGACTCCAAGAGGTATCATTGATGTTAAAACAAAAAACAAAAAACAAAAAAACAACTGCACCCAACAATCACATGAACTAAACCTGCAATAATAAATCATCCTCACGGACTTAAAACATCTCTTCCTTCTAAGGTTGAGCTGGGCACACTCCTAGCCCTGTTGCATATTATTATCCCTCTTCAAACCCGTGATAGAAAGTTAAGCACAGATTTATCCAAGCACATCAAAGCCAAAAATAAAGGAGAGGGAAGTGTTGCAAAAGCAGGGAAGAAAAGTGATTCCCCTAGCATGCACATTCTCTTTGCAGCACTGGAGAAAAATTCTCAAAAGGTTAACAGTCCCTATCGAAATCTGACATGGCACATCTTTTTTTTTTTTTTTTTTTTTTTCTGCTACAGCAGGAGAAACGTGCTACAGGCATCTGTCACCAAGGCCAGAGCAACTTCCCAGTGTGGCAACTGTACAGACAGCTTCAGAATGAGATTTTAGAAATTACAAAATTCTTCAAGAAGAAAAGACGTCTTCATAGAAGAAAAGGCAAGAGAAGCCTACAAAAGTAATATAAAGCATTACTCTTTGCACCCCATAAAAATCCATTCCCTGATCCCTCTTGGTTGATAGAAGAGGAAATATAATGCTGACAAAAATACAACTTCTGACAAGATATTTTATTTGGCTTACCTCTCCCCCAGGTCTTGCTAACACTGCTGTTTGAACGTGGAGCAATATTAATATCAGGTAGCTGACAAACATTATTACCCAAAGTTAGAACTACCCTAGAGGAGAACTCCGTCTGCCAAGTGCTAACAGCTAGCAGATGCACTTGTGTCTCGGGATTCCAGCCCTGGAGTTCCGCTAGGCACCGCGCTGGTTCCCTCGGCTCTCCCTCACTGTACTACCCGGCGCTTCGAGCTCAGCCTCTGCTCTGAAGAAAACTGGTAAGCTGATCTCTTCATGTAATAACTTCTCCCGGCTGGGGGAGGGGACAGGAGCCAGCTGGGAGCTGGGGGGCTGCCTTTAACAGAAAGCAGAAAGGGGAGGGACAGAAATGATCAATGTGGAGTTCTGCATCTGGTCTCATTCATGAAAAGGGTTCCAAGGTAAGCACTCCACATGCAGGGGGACAGCCCCTAACCTCATCCACTGAGGCAGGGAGGAGGCAGTGAACTGCAGCAGGATGAGCTCCAGGCTGGGAACTGGGAGAGCTAGGGCCTTCCTAGTGCAGGATCTGGGGCTGACCAGCTGTGTTTGCCTGGACAAGTTGCCAGCCCTCTCTGGGCTGCAGTTTATTTTTCTCACTGGTACAATCAAACGTTGGGTGAATGACCTCCGAGTTCCCTTTTAGATCTGATTTGATGGTTGCAGAAATCTAGGTGGTTAAAGGTTGCTTTATTAAGGACAGCTTCCATGGGGAAAGAAGTCACAGGGTGATGTGTGTTTGTGCACCAATTGTATTGACACAAACGGATGGGAACTGTGGGACAATATAGCCCCCTCTTGCTGCATCCCTGGGTCACTATGCCTAAGCAAGAGCTTGAGGAATTATTGCTGACAGTGTAAAAATAGGCAGCAAGATGGGAACAAGTGAATCCCAAGTGTTACGTAGTGCTGTCAGAGTGCGCTGAAATGCAGCATGGTTTTAAAAGAAATAAGAGCTACCTTTGAGTAGACTCACACTGACCAACAAAGAGGGGCTTGGGAGTGTCGGGAGCAGGCTTGGAAAAGGGTCTTCCTAAAGCCTACTGTGCACTTGAGATACACCTTACATGGTTACCTGTTATCCTGAAATAGCAGGGATCATGGTTTAAAACAGATTAGTATTGTATTCTGCCTAGAATGGGTTCAAGGCAGTGTTCTGAGGCTTTTGGTGACCACAGAGGAAAGGATGACTGCATGGTGTAGTGGAAACAGTCTGAGGTCCTGGAATTAGGCAGGTGTGGGTTAAACTTCAGTTGTGCTTCAAACTCTTTGTGCATATATGGGTGAGTATTTAACTCTGGTGAGCCCTGGTCTCCCCTCCTGTGAAATAGAAAAATGCCATCCAATGCTTATGACGACTGCCAGTAAGCTCACCTAGGCACGAAATGTGGCACAGTTCCTGGCACACAGTAAGTACTAAAGACACAGACTTTCTCTTTGATCTGAAATAAATATCAGCAGCCAGCCCCAGAAAGTAAATTAATAAACACTTGAAAAGCCTCAGGTTATGAGCATTTTCCTGCATTAATGAGGAAACTTTAAACCTAACTGCAGTTTGCAGCCATCTCAGAAAGTTTATTATCACCAGTCACATGACCATTTACCAGTGGGGGGACGAGGGGGAAGAACTTTCATTCCTTTTTTCCAGGTCTATAAGATGAAAAAAAAAAGTAGAGTGAGGATAATGTAATACCTCCAGTTAAAGAAAGAAAGGAATGAATTTTTCTTCTTCCTCCTTCATAGTCACTGTTACTGTTCAGCCTTGGGTCTGTTCTGCTACCTAATTGAAGGGGCAAAGTTATCTGCTGAGTAATCTCACGAGAAATGCAGTCATCACTTCAGAAAGCCAGAGTTCTTCAAAGTCCAGGAGTGCTGTCTAGCCGGGGTTGGGAAACTTTCTGTAAAGGGCCGCATGGTAAATATTTTTGGTTTTACAGACCATGTGGTCTCAGTAGCAACTACTCAATGCTGCCGTTATAACACAAAAGCAACCACAGATAACACACACATGAACAAGTGTGGCTGTGTTCCAATAAAACTTTATTTGTAAAAAACAGGCAGCAGGACAGATTTGACAGTAGTTTGCCAGCTCCTGGTCTAGATACTTCCCAATCATCCTTCAACCCACTGCAATCTTTTGACTTCTCTGCTCTACTGCAAGGGCTCTGGAAAGGTCACCAATGGCCCCCATGTCACACAATTCAAAAGATAATCATTTAGCACGTATTTACTTCTCTGTAGCCATGTCCTCCTTTACTTCTAATGTTGTGGTAACATATGCAACATAAATGTATCATTAAATTTATTATTAAGTATATAATTGAATGCCATTAAGTACATTCACAATATTGTACAGCCATCACCACTGTTCATTTCTAGAACTTTTCCATTTCCACAAACAGAAACTCTGTATTCATTAAACCTCTCCATTTCCCCTCCTCCAAGCTCCTGGTAACCACTATGCCACTCTCTGTCTCCATGAGTTTTCCTAGTCTAGGTACTTCATATAAGGGGAATCATACACTATACTATTTTTCCTTTCGTGTCTGACTTATTTCACATAGCATATATTCCCAAGGTTTGTCCACGCTATAACAGGTATCAAAACTTCATTCTTTTCTAAGGTTAAACAATATTCCGACATATGGATATACCACATTTTGTTTATTCATCCATCTGTTAATGGACATTTGGAATGGTCCTACCATTTGGCTGTTATGTATAATACTGCTATGAACCTGGGTGTCCAAGTGTCTATTTGAATCCCTGCTTTCAATTCTTTTGGATATATATCTAGCAGTAGAATCACTGAATCATATGGTAACTCTATGTTTAACTTTTTGAGAAGCTACCAAACTGTTTTCTATAGTGGTGGTACTGTTTTACATTCTCACTAGCAATGCATGAAGGTTTAATTTTTCTATAAACTTGACAACACTTATTATTTTCCATTTTTTGACGACAGCTTAATGGATGTGAAATGTATGTCTTCCTTTTTGAACCACTCTCTTCCCATAGCTTCTGGGGCTATGGCTCTGATTTCCTTTGCCTCTCATTAGCTGACATTCATTGAACACTATGAGCCCAGTATTATTAAAATTACTAAAATAACTTTTAAAATAGTTTCATGTAACCATGACAACAGTCTTATTAAATAATTTGCTTCATGTCACACAATGGTAGGTGGCACAGTCAGCATTCTGACCCTGGCAGCCTTTGTCCAGAACCTGACTCTTAATGACGGCATTGCCTTGTCACCATTTCTCTGGACTCTTGACACACCTTGGATCTAGCTCCTAAATTCTTATGTTCTAGGCCCTGTTTCCTCTCTACCTGCCCTTGTTGGGCCATCTTATCATTTCAATGGTCTCAACCCTTTACACACCCACGATTCCCTACAACCATCTGTAGCCAGGTCTCTCTCCTGACCTGCAGGTCGATATACCCAGTTGCCTAATGGATACTTGCATTCCTCAAATGTACTCTGAATTCAACAGGTCTAAAACTGAGCTAATGTTTCCCTGAAACCTGTTCTTCCTCCTGTTTCCTCCATCTCAGTAAATGACATCATTAGCCATATGATTCCCAGGGGCTGACAACAGGGTCCTCCCATTCCCTCACGTTTTCATCCAAATCATCATTGGGTCTGATTGAGTTTCCTTCTAGAGAGCTCTGCAGCAGGTCTATGGCCCCACATTCCTGCTGCCCTGTCCCCATCCAGCCCTCCACCATCTCTTCATGACTTGATGTAGCAACCTTCTTGTTCTGTTCTTCTCTCCTTCCAGCCCTCTTTCCTAGTGCAACCACTGGGATCTTCTAAAATGTGGTTCCAATCATGTCACTCTCCTGATTCTTTTCTTTTTCTTTTGAAATAACTTTAGATTTACAGAATAGTTACAAAGACAGCACAGAGTATCACAGCATCTCTTCACCCAGCTCTTTATAATGTTAACATCTGACATAACTGATATATTTATATAAACTAAGATATTAACATTGGTACAATAATATTAACTAAACTACAGACTCAGATTTCCCCAGTTTTTTCCCAAAATGTACTTTTCCTATTCCAGGGACCTAATCCAGGAGACCACAATTACATTTAGTCATTACATTTCTTTGGTCTTTCCTGGTCTGTGACAGTTTCTCAGCCTTTCTTTGTTTTTCATGACCTTGACACTCTTGAAGATTACTGGTCAGGTATTTTTTAGACTATCCTTCAATTTGGGTTGATCTAATGTTTTTTCATGATTAGACAGGGGTTAATAGGTTTTTATGAAGAATACTATGGAAGCAAAATGACCTTCTTATCACATTCATCGGGGTATACTATTTCAACACGACTTATCACTGATGATGTTAACCTTGACCATGTGGTTAAAGTGGTATCTGCCAGGTTTCTCCACTGTAAAGACAGTATTTTTCCTTTTCCATATCCTATTTATTAGAAATGAATCGGTAAATCCCATAGAATTAAGCTCTACTTTCTGGAGGGGGAGTATCCAAGAATATTCAGACATATTAAAACCATCACAAATGCACACATATTTTGAAGGAGATACTTTGAGGCTACGCAAATATCCTGTTTTCTTGGCTAATTTTAACATTCACCTGTAGATCTTGCCTGCAGCAATTATTACTGTAGTGTTCTAATAGTGATTTTCTGTTTCCCTCATGCCTTCTACATTTAATCAGAATTCATTAGTATAGATGATTTCTCCCTCCTTTTCCATATATTTATTAATTGAAACATTTATTTATACTCCTCTGCTTAAAATCTTTTGATGGCTCTCCTTTGGGATGAAGTCCAAATCCCTTCAGATGACAATTACAAGACTGTTTGCAATATGTTCTCTTCCTGCCCTTCCAGACTCTTCCCCGTCTTTTGTTCACACACACTTTATTCTCCAGCCATCTTAAGCCACAAGAAGTTATCCCACCTTCCATGTGTCCTTGTCCTCGATGCCTTCTTTCCTGGTAGTCCCTTTCTCTAGAGAGTCATTCCCCTATCATCACTGAGCTAGATCCTGTTGCTCTTTGCTTCTAAAAATGTATCCCAAATTGTGCATAAGCACCAAATATTGGAAACCACCTAAATGCCCATCAATAGGGACTAGCTGAATAATTGTGACATCAAAAAAATGAAGAACACTGGAGCAACAACAAAAAAAAAAAAAAAAAAAAAAAAGAAAAAAGAAAAAAAAGAAAAAATTAAGGTTGCTTCCTATGTAATGATATG